ATAATAATATATATATATATATATATATATATATATATATATATATATATATATATATATATATATATATATATATATATATATATGCAACTTTCTCCCCCTGCTAACTAACTAGACAAGGCACAAAAGTAGATGGAAACATGAAGACATGAAAATTAGTCTTCCTTTCTTTTATAAACAAAAAATGAAATTGTCTTGTTCGTATTTATGTTTATCTTTTCCCTAGATAGATTATGGACAAATTCTTCAGATGTTGAAAGTACCGCCATCAAAACTCTTAAGTCCATTGTTATGCATCTTGGGCTCCGGAGGTAGCACAACTGAAGGTATACTAGACTGAACGGTAACTGTCGTAAGAGCTGACGGTACTACACTCAGTGGTCCACTTTTTATTCGTGACATAGCAGACGAATTGATGTTCAGTGATTGTACATGAGTGACATTAGTATAACGCGTACTGCTTGATACAGTAATACCACTGGGCGTCGTGTTGATGATACGGCGTTTGAAACTGGCATCCATCGCCGGATGTGGAACACTACTTGTACGCTTCACTAAGGATCTTGCGGTAGCAGTAGGCCGCACAGTAGTACCATTTGTTCGTGAAGAAACCGCTTTAATATAATGGCTACCTGTAGGCCTTTTAATTATATCATCTTTCATGAGCTGTCTGCAAAATAAACAACTTATTCCGCGTCACCTTTTAAAAAAAAAGTTATTTTTAAAGTTGCTTAGAGAAGAAAAATACCAATGATTTCGAAAGTAAGTTGTTTTTACCTCTGATCTAAACACTTGACAAATTCCCATGCTTCTTTTGTAAGCACTTATTTTGCAAATCTAATATGATGAAGACTTAAATTCAGTATTTCTATGCGCTCCCAGAAATCATTACTCTTTCAATTTCCTATTCTAAATTTCAAAACGGTTCAAATCAAGCATCAGTTAGACATATTGCTACAATTTCCCTTTCTCTCCTCTCTTACTTTTAAAATCTATTCTTTCCATCTTCCACGAAACCCGATATATTTAGTTCAACCTGAAATTTCCAAACCAAATGAAAATTCTGCGATTTAAACTACAACTTACACTTCTCTTCCTTGAACTGTTTCACTGATGCGCTGCAAATCGCTTGCAAAACGCGAAACCGCGTCATGCAAACTACTGGTAT